CACAATTGAAGCATTTTCCATGAAATTTCTTCTTGGTAATGCCTCCTTTCGGACCTAGCTTTTGCTTGTCCTTCTTGTTCTTCTTGGAGTTTTTAGCATGCTCCACAACATTGGCTTTAGCACCAATAGTGACAGAATTTCTTCCATCATTCGTCCTGTTTCCCTCCTCAATTCGGAGTCACTGGATCAGGTCCTCCAGGTTCATTTCCTTTCGCTTATGCTTAAGGTAATTCTTGAAGTCCTTCCACCCTGGAGGCAGCAAGTGGATAACAGATCCCACTAGGAAGGCTTCACTCAACGTCATGCCTTCGTCACGGATTTCATCAAAGATTAGTTGTAAATCTTCAACCTGACTTAGCACGGTTTTGGAATCAACCATTTTGAAGTCAAGGAATCGGCCAACCACAAATTTCTTTGCGCCGGCATCCTCACTTCGGTATTTATGATCCAAAGCTTCCCACAGCGCTTTCGCTGTGCCAATCGTGCGATATACATCGTATAACGCATCACACAATCCATTTAGGATGTAGTTTCGGCATAGGAAGTCCGAATCCTTCCAATAGCCAACTGCCATCACGGATTGGGCATCCTGTTCCCTTAGTTCGGGAACCTTCTCGGTCAAAAATCTCGCCAAGCCGAGAGTTGCTAGGTAGAACAACATCTTTTGTTGCCACCTTTTGAAATTCGATCCAATACCGGTGAATTTCTCCGGTCTTTCGGCCGAACCACTCGGTACCCGAGTCATGGGATTATATCCCTCGGTGCTCCCACCATCTTATGAACCAACGTTCACTGGTGTAGCCTGGGAATTAGCAACATTATTGCCATTCCCACCACTGTTGTTCTCAACAACATTCTCCTCCCCGAGAGCTGGCAAAACTGGATTCTCCATTTCTTCTAGGAAATTAGAGATAAACAACCAACGGGAAACGGATATAAGGTTTTAAGATTGTTGGGTAATATGGTTGAAAATTCCCAAAAATAATAATAATCCTACGGAAAGATTAATATTATTTGGGAAAACAGAAAATTGGGAAGGAAAAAGAGGAGTGTTTGGGTAAAGGTTTAGCACGAGTTCGAACACGAAGTTCTTTTCCTTAAAACCTTATTTACTACCTCCCACAAGTGCTAGGAGCGTTGCAGCCTAGGTTTCCCAGGATAAAACGTGCTACGATTCCTTGTTTAAGCACCTAAACAAGGAAACCGGCAAATAAAGCAAAGCTTAGAACACTGGTTGGCTAAAAGAAGAGAGTAGAAGCAGAGTTTTGAGATGAAAAGCTACTGGAATTCCTTTGTTTCTCACTGTGTGTAAAAATGCTACTGCTCTACCTCTCTTTATATAGGGATGTTGGAAGGGATAGCATTCAACATGGTCTTTAATTGGTATTAAACCAATTGTATAACACCTGTAACGGTCACCACTAAGTAGGATTAAACTCAGAATTTAAAATTTGAATTAAAACAGTATTAATTCCGTAACAGATGAGTTTAATCTTCTGCACTTTCGGGTTTCAGACCGTTGGGGTGCAGGTTCACACGAGAGCACACGGACCAGTCAACACGAGAGTACATCTCTCGTGTGCACTGTGGTGCAACCCGATAGTGCACTACTCTCGTGGTCACAGATGCACGAGAGTTGTGCTCTCGGTGCACCAAAACCTCTCATGCTACATACGAGAGTAGGTGCTCTCGGTTCGGTTTTGACCGAACCAAGTGACTATATCAGATGGAAAATGATACCGAAGTTAGGCATAACTTAGCCCGCAAGGCCAGCCTATTTCCGGACGACATTCGTGCCCGAAGGTGCCGGCGCACGCGAGCTCGGGCTTGATTTCAAGCCTTTTTGATGTCCTCTAGTTGGATTTTGATTTGCACCCCCCCTCCCCCCCCCCCCCCCCCCCCCCCCCCCCCCGCACGAGAGAGCCTTTATGCTATACAATTCTACAAGCTTGAAAATAGCTCATGTATATAAGGGGGGCAAATCTTGTTTCCAAACCAATGTTGGACAAAGTCCTACATTTTCCCTTCATTTCCCAAATTAAATGGGTCTACTTTGAGAATCAATATCTCATTCACCCATTATCCGTTTTGAGCGTACAATATATCAATCTCTTCGTCTTACTACGAAGAATCCGAATCAACTTTGACCCGACCCAAATCAGAAGTGGACCCCACTGATAATTGTACCACAAAATAGCCACTTAATATGCCATTTTATGCCATTTTAAGATAATTTTTCCAACACTTACTTCGAAGATCAATATCTCAAAGACCGTAAGGAATTAGAAAGTGTATAATATATCAATAGAACGCCAAAGAAGATACCTAAAACATATCAAAATTTCAGATAAAACTAACTAGTGGATCTCGAGATATAGTTCATTCTTTGAAACTGGTCACAGAACGCGGAAATCTGGACACGGTGTGATTGCAACGTGATTGCGCGTAAATGAACTTTGGATATAGGTAAGGGAGATATGGGGTTGTTTTCATGATAGAATTTTTGGTAATATGGTGCTTGGGAGGTGTGAGTTATCGTTCATATAAGACAGGAAAAAGGGAAAACTCTTTCAGGATTGTTTTTCAAGAAACTGGAGAACATGTATCAAGATTCAAGAACACAATCAAGAATGCAAAAGAAATTTTTTTGGGGGTTTTTTAATGAATTAGACACGAAAAAAAGTAGTATGTAAGATAAGAATGAGATAAACCTAGGCTCTGAATACCAAATTGATATGAACCTAGCCCAAGATTCAAATAAAGATGGAATATTGTCCCAAGATTACTCTCAATGCAAAGATAGAGATGGATCAAAATACCTTAAACCTCATGAGAAACCCTTTGTCTCGAATCCTCAAAGACTTGGAACAGTCCCATGTAGCTTCAAGTACCTCGATGTTGCAATCTTCAATCAACTAGAGTCGGATCTAGTTTCCTTCGATTCAAGAACGAGTCCACGAACCTAAATCTAAGGTTGAAGAAAGTAAGATTGATTCGAGTCCACGAATCAATTTTCTAGCTGAGTCCACGACTAGCCACTAATTGAGTCCACAATTAGCCATAAGGTTTCTTACACAAATGTAAAGAAAAACTTAAGAATTTTATTGGATTAAAGCCTCCTCAAAACTGATATGGATGTGCCCTATTTATAGGTATAGGGCAGCATTGTAATCTAAATACAATGGGAAAAAGTGTCCTAAACCTAATCTAGAAAACAAGTAAATAGAGTTTTATTTAGAAAAGGATTTAAGGAATCCTTTCTAAATACAACTAGTGTTTTCTCTTTAATTCTAAACAATTTAAAATAAATGATGACCACAAATAATAAAGCTGATTTGGGCCTCGGATCTTGTGATTGGCAGAATTTGTAATCTTAATGGATCTTCATTATGTTGGGCCACATCATCCTCCCCTTCTTGAAAAATGATTCGACCTCGAATCTTATAAACATTGTCTTCGATCCGTGACATCACTTGAAACGGGCCACTATAATACTTTCCTCTATCGAATGGAATTATTATTGGAATTGCTTGATTTTTCCACCAATGATTCTTTAAGGATGTACTTTTTGGCCTTGTGATGAGCCCACTATAGACCCTTATTGGATTCCATGTGTGCTGGTTCCTACCAAATTGATATGAACCTAGTCCAAGGTTCAAATAATATGGAATATTATCCCAAGATTACTCTCAATGCAAAGATAGAGATGGATCAAAATACCTTAAACCTCACGAGAAACCCTTTGTCTCGAATCCTCAAAGACTTGGAAGAATCCCATTGTAGCTTCAAGTACCTCGATGATGCAATCTTCAATCAACTAGAGTCGGATCTAGTTTCCTTCGATTCAAGAACGAGTCCACGGACCTAAATCTAAGGTTGAAGAAAGGAAGATTGATTCGAGTCCACGAATCAATTTGCTAGTCGAGTCCACGACTAGCCACTAATTGAGTCCACAATTAGCCATAAGGTTTCTTACACAAGTGTAAAGAAAAACTTAAGAATTTTATTGAATTGAAGCCTCCCCAAAACTGATATGGATGTGCCCTATTTATAGGTATAGGGCAGCATTGTAATCTAAATACAATGGGAAAAAGTGTCCTAAACCTAATCTAGAAAACAAGTAAATAGAGTTTTATTTAGAAAAAGGATTTAAGGAATCCTTTCTAAATACAACTAGTGTTTTCTCTTTAATTCTAAACAATTTAAAATAAATGATGACCACAAATAATAAAGTTGATTTGGGCCTCGGATCTTGTGATTGGCCCAATTTGTAATCTTAATGGATCTTCATTATGTTGGGCCGCATCATCCTCCCCTTCTTGAAAAATGATTCGACCTCGAATCTTATAAACATTGTCTTCGATCCGTGAGATCACTTGAAACGGGCCACTATAATACTTTCCTCTATCGAATGGAATTATTATTGGAATTCCTTGATTTTTTCTCCAATGATGCTTTAAGGATGTACTTTTTAGCCTTGTGATGAGCCCACTATAGACCCTTATTGGATTCCATGTGTGCTGGTTCCTATTACCAAATTTATCTCAAAAGTTTTTATAGAGTGAAAAATGGCTATTTTGGAATTTCTTAAAACCGAATTTATAAAATAAAATTTTGGTTTGTCACACCTTACCCCCCCCCCCAAAGAGCAGTACTTGACCACACTATACCCTTAATTCCAAGAGCTAAAAGAGGGTAGAGGAAATGTTGGCAGCTGGGGTGATTACTACTAATTCTTCTTGTTTTGCCTCACCTATGTTATTGGTACCAAAAAAAGACAACTCCTAGAGATTTGCATTGATTGCAGGGCATTAAATAACATTACTATGAAGAATAAGTTCCTAATACCACTAGTGGAAGACTTATTTTCAGAATTGGTTGGTGCGGTTTCCTTTTCTAAACTGGACTAAAGGTCTGGATACCACCAGGTGGGAATAAAAGAAGGATAGGAGTTCAAAACAGCATTTAGAACTCATCAAGGGCTCTATAATTTTAGGGTAATGCCTTTTGGGCTCACTAATTCCCCAGCCACCTTTCAAGCACTAATGAACCAAGTATTCAAACCCCTACTCAGAAAAAGTGTTTTGGTATTCTTTGGTGATATTCTTGTGTACAACCCTAACTTGGAGGTCCATTGGCAACACCTAAGGGAAGTCCTAGAGATTATGAGGCAACATCAGCTATTTGTTAAGCTGAGTAAGTGTACTTTTGCTCAAAATCGGGTGGAATATCTAGGGCACATCATATCTAGAGAAGGGTTACAAACTGATCCTGCTAAGTTGGAAACAGTGGCTTCTTGGCCAAAACCCTTGACTGTCAAGGAATCGAGGGGGTTTTTGAGACTTGCAGGCTATTATAGAAGGTTCATCAAAGCATATGGGATAATCAGCAGGCCATTAACAAAAATGTTGAAGAAGAATGCATTCAAATGGACTGTGGAGGCTGAGAAGGGTTTTGATCAATTGAAGCAAGCCTTGTGCCACTCACCTGTGTTGGCCCTCCCTGATTTCCAAAAGGAATTCATTGTGGAATAAGATGCAAGTTACAAAGGGATGGGGGCCTGTGTTGATGCAGGAAGGAAGGCATATTGCTTTCTTTAGTAAAGCATTTGGTGAGAAACACTTAGGCCTGTCAATTTATGAGAAGGAGTATTTGTCCATTATCAATGCTATTGATAAATGGATGCCCTACCTGCTTTGGAGGCACTTCACTATTAAAATAGACCACCACAGTTTGCAATTTCTTTTGGAACAGAAAATAACTACAACCTTACAATAGAAGGGGTTGACTAAGCTGCTAGGGCTAGATTATTCCATTTAGTACAAAACGGGTCTGATAATGGTGCAGCTGATGCTTTGTCTAGGAAAATGGTGGAAGATAAGGCTACATCACATGCTATTTCAATAGTACAACCCCAGTAGATGGAAGAGGTAATTAAAAGTTATGACAAGGATGAGTGGGCAGCTAAGAATCTTACTTCTGCATTGGTAAACCCTGTTGTTGACAGTAAAATCTATGTAACTGGGGACTTATGAGGTATAAGGGTAGATTGTATATTGGGTCATCTGGGGTTTGAGGAAGGAACTTATGCTCAAGTTACATGAAAGTGCAATTGGGGGTCATTCTGGGCAGGCTGGAGCATATCAAATGATGAAAGCCTTGTTCTATTGGAAGGGCATGAAGAGAGACATTACTGATTTGGGGAGGAGCTGTGATATTTGTCAGAAGTGTAAGCATGAGAATGTTGCCAATCTTGGACTTCTACAACCCTTGAATATTCAAAAAGAGGCATGCTAGAGTATTTTTGTTAATTTTATAGAGGGCCTTCTGATGTGAGCCAAATTGTGCATATTTCTTGTATTAGTTTGATCATGTTTGTTAGGTTCAATTGTGTGAAAATGATAATTTTATTGCATAATCCTTTATTTTATTATTTAATTATGGTTCACACTTGTTTTGAATATTTTACGGTGTTTGTTAGTGTTTTTGAACCATTGTAGATCAATTCTATGAGCAAGGAAAGTTCTAGGGTGAGTATGGAGCCAAAATGGACAAGAAGGGATCCCAGAAAACTCGTCGCGTCAAGATTTTGCAGAATGCCAATTATATTCGTATTATTTACTTCGACGCGTCGAAGTCGAGCAACGGTGAATTGCGAAAGAGAGAGAGGGGCACTGAAATTACAAAATGAAGGACGGCGGCAAATTTCCATCAAAAGGTGTTAATTACATTCCAAATTTAATGGCACAATTTTCAAGCAAATTAAAGTGGGACTGCAATGATTTCTTAATGATAAGGGATTGTAATAATTTCTAATCATAAAAGACGGCAAATTCAAAATAAAATAAGTGAAATTCCAATTTCGCCCCGGTTTGACTCGCTGATGCGTAGTATATTTGCAAACAAATAATTCTCGGAGTACGAGTTATCGATCCACAGGGAAGTGGTTGTATCAAGCACTAGTTACTAACTTATTCATTAGAGCTAATCCTAACAATTACTTAGATGGTTGATTGACATAAAATAAATAAAATAAAACAGAGGTTCAGGATTTTGAAAACAATTAGAGAGAAGTTGAGATTCATGGGATTCAAGTATTTAATCACCTAGTGCCAATTATCGTTTGCAATATTTAGTTTGGAATTAAGATTTGTGTGGGAATGCAAAGTGGAATCGAATTACTCCCGTAATCTCTATTCCTAGTGAATTTCCACTCCCATGGCTTAAACACCCAATAAGATCAAAGATCAGCATTCAATTATTCCTAATTACTACCATCTCCCGATTGGCAACAATCTAGAATAAACTTCCCCTAATAAGTTCCCCTTTTCCAAGGACCAACCATTAGGTGCAATCGTGTGTGCCCTAATTTATGCCCCAACTACTCCCATTGGTGACACAAACATGGCTATGAAGCTAGTAACTATGGCCATTAATTACAAGCATCAAACAATATTATCACGATTGCAACACAAGTATTAAACCCAAATAATAATATATTAAAGAAACTGAGAGCTAAGGCACATAGGTTCATAAACACTTTTACCCAAGAATCTCTAAAGAATTTAGCCAAGCATGACTAAATTATACATAGCAAATATAAATAAAGAATTACAAATCATCAAAAGAGTACAAGAATTAACCAGACGATTTTCCCAAATCTCCCTAGTCTTCTTCTTGCTTTCCAAGACAACTTGTGGCTCTTGATTTCTCTCCTTCTTGTCTCCAAGAATCTCTGAATTCTCTCGGTCCCCGTCCTCCCATTAGGGTTGAGGAAGGAGGGATTTTATAGTGGGTACAAAGTTGAGATGAAATAGGAATCTTGTACCAAATTGGACTCAAATTCTAATTCCTATATTTAAATAAAGAAATTGTCGTCTTTAATGATATTTAGAATTTGGAAGATTCCTTGAATTGCTAACTTTTAATATGGAGATATGAGCCTTGAAATCCGCGCAATTGATATTAGGAAAAGAGATCTCGCGCTTGTATTGAATTTTGCCCAGCTGCGCCACTTTAAGCGTCTGTTTTTTTATCCGCGCCACTTTAGGCGTCTGTTTTTTATCCCAGAAACAGACGCATATTCGACGCATCGAGAATTTTCTCGACGCGTCGAGACTTCCTGTGCGCGAATTAATTAGCTACTGGAAAATTTCGACGTGTCGAGCCCTTGGCTCGACGCGTCGAGTCCACTGGGCCCCGAACTCATCCAAAATTGCTCCAAACTCATCCTTGAACTCCCCTTGGTCATATCTTTGACCTAAAATGGTTCAAAAACACTAACAAACACCGTAAAATATTCAAAACAAGTGCGAACCATAATTAAATGATAATAGCAAGGAAAACATGTATTAAGTAAGCAAAATTAAAGAGCTTAATTACTGTGATGATTCAAAATAACCATAAAAACAAGCATAGATGTGATAACATCACTCGTGCTATAAAATCGCGCCTTGGTTCAACTCTAGAGGATATTCAGAGCTCTTTGGAGACTAGAAAGAGAGAAATCAAGAGCCACAAGTTGTCTTGGGAAGCAAGAAGATGACTAGGGTGTAACACCCCCGATTTTAGCAAAAATTAAAAGCTTAAATCATGAAGATAAATCTCACCATTTGATAAAACCAAGCAGAAACTAATATTAAGGTACGAGGATGTTATGCCACATCTATCTAACTATAGATGCACATGCTAGAATCTAAACCAACAATCATCATTAGGTAACAATTCATAAGTCTAGGCTCACAGGCCATAAAACTAGAACTACAGAAAGGTAAGTTACGTTATCTCAGTCCACATATAGCGCTCTCTCTCGATCTACTCAAAACCTGTAAAACATAAGGGATAACACCCGTCAGCGAATAACGCTGGTAATCCACCATTACGCGTTGAGTAACATATAATATAGGTATAGAGAAAAGCATTTGAGACTTTTGAATACAATATATAATCCTTTAAAAATGAGGAAGGAACAACATAAAACTCATCCTCAAGTCACTCTCAATCAAAGACCAATCCCAACAAATTACTCAATGATCAACAAGATCGACAGAAACAACATGCTCAACAACAAGATATATCAAACGATAACCAATCAAGAGACAACATAAGTCACACTCATGAACCATGAGAGACATGAATCACATTCAAAGATGAGTACCAAGTTCCAACCTTATGCCATGTTCAAACCATTCTCTCCAAGCCAACCTTATTACAGTTCCAACCTTTACCTCCTAGTGCCACCCTGTACACCGAGTCCAACCTTATTCCTTCGGAGCGATCCGCCCCCCGCCTGCATCCGCCAACTTTAACCGCCAAACGGGGACACTCGTAGTGTCAATAGTCACGTAGAATAGTATTAATCACGTGATAGTCTATCTCCTTTCATTATTGCCTACCAATCATATAACAATACATAGTCCTCATCATAAAGAATTGAGGCTCATCAATAGCCCAATCAAGTATCAATAAACGGGTACATCACATGTACAAGATCATATCAAGGAATACAATCGATAGATTTCAATGAAAGGCAAGAATAAACCATCAAGGCAACAATACATCAACGATAGACTTTAATCCAAAGACTATCATGATTGGAAACACAAGTTGCCAGTCTTCAATAGGAATAAATGAACAACACATACTAGCATCAACAACATTAGAACTAGCATGTACATCAAAAGGAGAAACATAACGGTTTATCCGAACCTCAATGACTTCACATTAATCCAACGAATCACAATGTTAGACCACAAGCACAATTCAAGACTCATAATCCTATCACGGATACTTAGGACACTGTTCTAGACATACGAAACATCAAAGGAGACACACAAGTGCTCAACGATTCAACAAAACGGATGCCAAAGCATCACGTACCAGTGGGTGAAACGGTGGGTGGACAACCACCCGCCACACCCCCTTATAAGTACCAGCGGGTAGAACCACGGGTGGACCTCCACCCGCGGCTCTGCCCGCCGGTACGCACCCTTCCACCCGCGGGTACATGTACCCAAGGCGAAATTTCCCTTTGGGGAAAAACATCAACAAGGTCATGCTCAAGTCCAAAATAACCAACACCTCACATTCAACAAGGCAATGACTTGAACACATGAATAGCTCAAAAGATAGCATTTAAGAACCCTAGATACAAGCTCTAACATGCATAAACACAAGATTATGCATCAAATCTCACAAGAACCTCAAGAACATCAAATAGAATGTCAAGAATCATCATAGCAAGTTCAAAATAGGTTTTGTAATGCATGGGTTACCTTTGTAGACCAAGATACACTTCCTTTTTATCCCCTAGACTTCTCCTTGAAGTTCCTCATAAACCAAATCTTCTCAACACAACCAAGCATAAAAGAAAAACAACAACTTAGATAAAGACTAGGTAAAGCTACTCAAAAACACCAACTAAGCTAAGATCTTACCCTTCCTAGTGCTTTAATGGTAGAAAGGTGGAATCTTGGAAAGTTCTCTTGCAAGGATGAATGTGGATTTTACTTGGCTTGGAGAGAAAGCTAGCCTT